TATTGTTATGTACATACGAGTCAATTTTAATGTGAGTTTTATTTTAGAGAGAGGAATTTCTATTTCTTAAAAAATTAAAAAATACTAGGGATTATAAGAAAAACTCAAACACGTGGATTCCATATTTAGTGAACTTTATTTTCCTCTATCATTTTACATTCACTAAAATGCTCTTTTTAATTGTACAACTATTTTTCTAATATTTTTAATTATATATTTTATGATAATTTATACATAAATTTTAATTTTATAACTTTTTTATAAGGCTCTTTAGTATTTATTTAGTTTAATTTTATAAAAATTTAGTGAAATAGAATTAGAAACACATTTAGAGTATAAGATAATTAGAGATAAATGTATAAAATAAAAAATTATAAAGGATAAACAATTCATGTTTATATAAATAAAAATCAGATTAAATTCGAGGCAAAATAATAATATATTATTTATTTTTAGTAATTTTTTTATTTTTGATATTTTGATAATTAATTTTTGATAATTTAATGTCAAATGGTTGAGAGTTATCTTTGAACATATTACTTTGTACTTATCTCATATTAATAAAAATGAATATTTTGTATTATAAATTAGAAATATTTTTATTCTTTTCTAAAATCAAATAAGTCTATAAACTTTTAGGGAAAAACTAAGTTGACCATCGAATTCAAAAAAAAAAACTAATTTAACTCATATGTCACATCATCAGTTACGTCACTAGCCATTATAGTTATCACGTCAGCATCATAACGGACAAAGACATAAATCGTTGGTCAAAGGACTACATTTATTTTGTTTTCTAAGTTTGAGGACTATATTGAATGTAAACAAATACGAGTTCACATTGGTTCTTTTGAAAAGTACGAGTGTCTCAACATCCCTTTTGCCTTTTTTTTCTCTTATCTCGACTTTATACTATTCAAATTTGAAAGTTTAGAAGATATTTTTTTTTGCTAAAATACGGGCTGATAGAAAAGTTTAGAGGATTTTTTTTAATAAATTTATCAAAAAGTTTAAATGACGTTAAATGCTTAATGGTCGAGTGCTCCAAATAAACAAAAATTGAAAGTTCAATAATAAATTTGAGAACATTTAAAGTGAGTGACAGAAATAAAAACACGAACAAAGTTGAGTGACAAAACACCAGTGCACCTTTTCACAATCTAATCATAAGATTTCCTTTCTTAATGTTAAACTACTTATAACTTTTTAAGTCTCTTAAATCGAAGTATATTATTTATTTAAGTATGTTTGAACTACGACCACGAAGAACAAGGGCAGAGATTGAATAAGTTTTAATGTACGACAGTTTAATTTAGGGTTAAAAAATGGTGAAAAATAGGTGTAACAAAATTTTTTTATAAAAGACAATGTTTTTAGTTGATTGTAACTTAAAATGTTAACTTTTTAATATTTTTATTTGCACCAAAAATATTATGAAGAAAATAATTTTTTCAGTTGTCAACTAAAAAAATTATTAAGAAGGTATACAACCAGACAATGTTAAGAAAAATTAACATTTTAATTTATTTATTATATATATATATATATTAATATTAATAAACATTAACAAAATAGTTGGCAGGGGTCAGGCTGCTCCTGGCTTGCGAAGTTTCACCTTTGTTTGGTTGAAGGGTCTAGGTTCAAAAAATCAAATAAGTAGGAAGAATGAATTAAAATGTCATTCATCACTCTGTTAATAAGTTAACATAGAAGTGATTAAAAAAATTAATTTTTAAAGTTAAATGAGTAAATTGAAATTTTTTAAAGTTTAGTGATTAAAATATGAAATAAAAAAATTCAATGATGATATGTGTAGTTTATCCTTGTTTTTATTTGACAAAAAACATCAAAGGCTATTATACTTTTTTAAGAAAATCAATGTAGCCGTGAAATAATTTTTTTACAAAATTTAACCCTCCAATTTAGAAAATAAACTTACTATAGTCATTTGATCCACGTTTTTCGTTGTTGATCGTTATATACTGATGTGACGGTTCATAATACTGATGTAACGATTTATGATATTGACGTGACAATCTATATTACTGATATAACAATCTATTATGACTTTTGATGTGATAGATAACATGACAAATGAGTTAAGTTAATTTTGATATTGTTTGAGGGCCAAATTATTTTTTGGAGTTTAGGGGTTTATTTAATTTTAAAAAAAATTAAAATTATTTTAAATTTAAAATATTCAAAAAAAATAAATATACAAATAATAAAAATATTAATTTAATAAAAGAAATTAAATATATTATTAAAAATAATAAAAAAACTATTAAAATTTAAAAAATTAAAATATATAACAAGCTATAAGAATAATAAATTATCAATTATTAAAAAATAATATATATATATATATAATCATATCGTCAACACTTTTACAAAATTTTTTGATTCAGTTAGTTGTATCAATACATAAATTAATCATATTTCTAAAAATTTTAAGGTTCACTTTACATACTAATGAAAAATTCTAGAATGGATGTTAAATATTGATATTCACAATTAATTTTAATAAATTAAATTTATAAATGTACATTAAACTATATCAAAATTATCCTTTTAGACACTAAACTTTTGAAAAGTTATATAATGATCATTAAATTTTTGATTTTGTTACAAAATCAGCACAACACCATTATCTACCGTTAAAGAGGTGATGTGACATGTTGATTAATAGAAAAATATCTCATTTAACCCTTTAATTATAAGTAAAATTGTATTTTATTGTTAATTTTAATTAAATTTTTATTATGTTTGTTGAATTGAAAAATGGATATAAATAAATTAAATACTATTTTTAGTGGCATATTATAAATATTGAATTTACACCATATAAATTACTTGATATTATTAAAATTTAAAGATTATTTTGATTGTTTTTGTTTAAGTTTGGATTTTGTTTCTTATTAATGTGATACTACATTTTTTTGTATTTATTTTTTAAAATCATAAACAAAAACCAAATGTTTGAATCACATTGTTTAGTAAAAAATAATACATTGTTTGATAATTCAATTTTTATATCTAAAAAATTATAAAGTTTAATTTTATAAATACAATTACGATTAATAAATAATTAGTTATAAAATAATTTGATGAATGATTTTTTTTTTTGGAATTGATGAATGAGTTTTTTTTTTTAAATATAACTTTTAATTTTAAAAATAAAATTATTTTCATATATTTTTCTAAAAAATTAAAATTATTACTTATTAATTTAGCATGTCATGTCACCTCAACAATATTTCACAATCACTACATAATTATTTAATAAAAATCTAATGTTTAATGTCTATTTTATAACTTTTAAAAATCCAATGACAAATGAAATTATTTTAATAAATTTAATGACCATTTATAAACTTTACCACATTTTTATATTAGTTGTGCATATCGGTGCACATCATTAGTGGTGCACATCTATTTTATAAATTTAATGACCATTTATGAATTTTGTCATATATATATATTATTTAAAATATTTTATACCTTTTTCAATGTCAATTATTTTTTAAAATATCATTTGCTCACATAAAATTAAAAAGAAAAAAAATACATTGATAATACTTTATAAGTGTCCCTATTTTTTTTAGAGATACAAATTCATGAATTCACATAATGAATATAGATATTTAAAATAAAATCATAAATAAAATTTGAGTTGGTTTTTATTTTTAAAAAAATACTTTCAATTGAAATAAAATTAAAAATTGAATGATTGATAACTTAAGTAAAGTTCTCAACTCAAAGAAAATGAACAACCAACCAGAAAAATGCATAAAGAATATTTTTGTATCTTGAAATCAGAAATGACAAGGAAAATAAATTTTCATTTGAAAATAAAATAATTATACAAAAATGGATGTTAACTCCTTTAATAAATAATATTTGATTAATTTTTAAATTCCAAAATAATATATATTATTAAAATTATTAAATTTAATAACTTATTAAATACATCTTTATGAGACCAAACTAAACAATTTAATATATATATATATATAACATATATTATTTTAATATTTTAATATTTTTATATAAATATATATTATATATTATTTTTATTATGCCTTCTCCCATTGGTTCGAAGTATAATTAGATGTGCATATTGACACACAAAGTTTACTATGTTTCCTTATTATATTTAGATACAAAATTTGTAAGTCTCGAGTAATCAAATAAGAAGACTTTATATAAGTGTTAATGATATGACTATATGTGACATGTATATATTGTATATGATAAATATTTTTTATTTTTTATAATTTATAAGTAATCATTTTATAGTTTATGATATATATATTTAATTTTTAATAATAGTATTTTTATTATTTTAATATATATTTAATTTTTTAGTAATTTAATTTAATTTTTAGTATTTTTTATTTAATTTTTAATATTTAATTTTTTTTATATTTTCAATTCTAAATTTAAGTTAAATTTTAATTTTGAGGAAATTAAATAAGTCCCTAAACTTATTAAAAATTAATTTAACCCTTGAACAAGATAAAAAAAAACTAATTAAACCCATAAACAATGTCATCAGCCACATCAACAACCACCATGGATTGTCACCTTAATACCGTGAATCACCACTTCATACCACAACGATCAACGATAAAAATATTGGTCATATGATCACATTGAATTTATGTGATGGGTTGACGGGCCACATTGGATGTAAAAAAATTTGAGGGCCAAATTGGTTTTTTTTTCTACAAAAGTATGACGGTCTTTTATGTTTTTTTCCCTTTTTATTTCAACTGAACAAACCATATCATCATCGTTAGTAACTTAACAGTGCAGTAATATAAATAGGAGCAGTTTAAAAGATCAAAATATTAAATTGAATATTTTAAAATTTGACTGATCAAAACAGGTGTGAAGAGAAAGTTGGTGATGAAATAAGTAGTTTACCCTTAAAAAAATTTAAACGATTGTTTTAAATTTTTAGGGCTAAAAATACAATAGCAGGTGTGAAACACTTCTAAAACAAAATCACCAAAACAAAACTCAAACTTCGCTGGATGCTTCGTTTCACTGGATGCTTCGTTAGCCAAAGCAGTTTCAGCATTTTTTTTCTGTTTATTTAATGAAATTTGGAGTCTTTTAATTATTGAGGTTGAATCCGAAATCCCATATCAGAAATGGTAAAGTTCTAAATCTGATAGTATTCCTTTTCTGATTTCATTTCAGTTTTCGTATTTATTTTCCTGTGGTTTATATCTGTTTTCCATTTTTTATATTTTTTTATTTGATCTTTCTTTACTCGTATTTTACGAATCTAATGAAATCCTGAATTTGGAGTATGCAAGTTCTGAAGTTTCACTGCTTTTTTAGGAATTCTATTTAGCTATGTTACATGAATATATATTTTTTTTCAAAAGAAAAGATTGCTATTTATCTTTCTTGTTGGTAGAAATGTTTTAGCTTAATTTATTCAAAAGAAAGAAAGAATTAGCTCACATGGAAAAGACGGTTATTATCATATTATGCTTCTTTTTTTATTATTCCTTTTTGGGTGAAATTCTAAAGTCTTAAGTTGTTCTGGTGTTTTAAAGATAGTACTATGGACCCCCCCTTTTTTTTGTAAATCTTTAGCATAAGGAGAAATACCTAATTTTTTTAACTTTGTTTCTCGGACTTTACTTTTCTTAAAATACGCTTGGCATATATCGTGATTATCTGGATATGTGTACAAAAGATGGGATGTGTGAAATATATGAAAAAAATGGAATAATTGAGCATATTGGTGTTGAAACAACAATACATGTTTTCAACACTCACCAGCAAGTCGAATACCATAGGTTGCGAAATAATCATTTGTTTTATCCCTAATCCAAAACATTTTCATGAATCCGATGAGGTTTGAATCCGCTACGTTCAGTCAAAAGCCCCTTGTTTATAGCGTTGTAATAAGTATATCATTTGATAAACTTCTGGTGATGTTGGAATTTGGCATTAGAAGTGATTTTCATGGTAGAGAGAGAGCGAAAAGAAGGTTCAGTCTTAGCTTATGTTTTGAAGTACATGAGAGAGATTTTACTTTAGTTATCAATATTTCAATTTCATGCTTTGGAACTTAGGTTTCTTGTTTATGTTATGACCCTAGGTTTATTAAATGTTGCTCGGATTCATGTGTGAGTGTTCGATATGAGAATGTGTTTGACAAGGTATATGTTTTATAGTTTTTCAAGTATTAGGATGAGCATATCACCATACTCGGTGTCTAAATATGCATCGGACACAGATACTTAATAGGAAAAAGAAAAAAAAAGAAGAAGAAGAGAAGAGACAACTTTTCTTTTATTTTGTTAGTTAGTTCTACCATATCTGTTTGTGAGCCTTCAAGAATTAGTAAAAAGGTGACTTATGGAGTGGTTAATAACTTGTTGGCATTGAAAACCTATGTTACCTGAACTGAAGGGTGAGCATCATATGCGGGTCTGTGTTTGACGTGCATATTTTACAGAAAATGAAGAGTATGGAAAACATAGCTTAAAACTTAGTAGAAATGTAGAATTCAAAGCGACTTTCAAGAACTGCTTATGCTAAGTGATAACATGTTGAACTAATATTTAGCTGTAATTGAGGATTAATTGTTTCTTTTCTTGTTTAAACCAATTAAAGACTTCTTGTGTTACAACAATTCTATATCCATAACGCTATCTATCCTTTAATTAATGAATTTCTTGATTTTTGTCTGGCTACACCATTTTTGGTTGATCAACTTGCCAAACAAGGGATTGGTTAAATGATGGGGAATTAATTGGGTTGTTGTTTTTCTATTATTGGTACTTCGGGAACATTAGGGAATGATTTTTGTTTGTAATTGGTTGATCGACATATGAGTTAGTTTTGTTGTAGTGTATAAACATATTCATGTAGGTACTGCTGTTTTGCATTGTGTTGAGTGGGCTGCCATCGTTCTTGGGTGGTAGTCTGATCTTATTATACTTGGTTCTTATGCAATAAAATTTCTAGGGCACTCTTTTCCTCCTTCCAATGTCTGTTGAGTCTTTGTTGCTTGACGGTTATTAAGGGGGGGTTTTAAGGAGGCCTTCCTTTTTATAAAAAAAACACCATTTTTGGCTAGGGTTGCAATTTTTTAACAGCCACATCACCTGATTGAATGCATTTATATAGTTGGGTCCCCTGATTGATTTCTAAATCTGATAGTATTCCTTTTTTGATTTCATTTCAATTTTCGTATTTATTTTCCTTTTTTTCTCTTGTGGTTTTTGTTGGTAGAATCGCTTTTTAGCATAAGTCATGCAAAAGAAAGAAAGAATTAGCTCAGATGGAAAAGATGGTTATTATGCTTCTTCGTCTTCTTCTTCTTTATTATTCCTTTTTCGGTGAAACTCAAAGTTTTAAGTTGTTTTGGTGTTCTAAAGATAGTACTATGAACCCTTCTTTTTTAAATTTTTAGCATGAGAAATACCTAGTTTTTTTTTAAACTTTGTTTCTTTGACTTTACTTTTCTTAAAATATGCTTGACATATATCCTGATTATCTGGATATGTGTTCAAAAGATGGGATTTGTGAAATATATGAGAAAAATGGAATAGTTGAGTATATTCATCTTGAAACAATACATGTTTCCAACACTCTCAATCAAGTCAAATACCATAGGTGGCGAAAAATTCAGTTGTTTTATCCTTAATTCAGAACATTTTCACGAACCCTACGCGGATGGAGTCCTCTATGTTCAGGCAAAAGCCCCTTTGTTTATAGCATTGTAATAAGTATGTCATATGATAATCTTCTGGTGATTTTGGAATTTGGAAGTAGGAGTGATTTTTTTTTATAGAAAAGATGGCCTCGTTAAAAACCCTCTTCCTAACCGCCATGCTATAAGGGTAGCTCAGCGGACATAGGAGGAAGGAAAAGAGTGCCATAAATATTATTACTAAAAACCAGATACAACAAAAATACATAAGACCAAGTACAACCATACATCATCTACCACTGATCAAGAAAACAACCCAGTACATAACTCCTAACCAATCCCTACATTTTACCCCCTTGTCTAACCTAACCAATTCCCAATTTGGAAAACTCATCTGCATTATAATTTGCACCTCTCTTAATATGCCTAATGACCACACCCTTGTTTAACACAATATTTGCAATGTCACCACTGTTTTAAACAAAGGAATGCAAGAAGTTGGATTATTAATCCAGTCTAAAGCAACTAAACAATCAGATTCTAAAATTAGCCTTCCCTTTGATGCCCACTCTGAATCCAAAATTAGATGCAAACCCCTCTTAATAGCCAACAGTTCTGGCAGAATTGGAGGATCCGATCCAACTTTCTCAGAAAACGAATCCAGTATGACACCCTTCGCATCCCTAAGAAAACCACCTATGCCACCCTTCCAAAAACTATCCATAGCACCATCATCCCTCAACAACGACGGTTTTGCAGACTCCAGTTTCGACTCTTGAATAAACAGCAAAGGTCTTCTTCCGTCAACTAACCCTCTCACCGCTCTAGATTTTTTCCTTTTGACCCAAGCCCCAAATATTCCACGAGATAATTGATAACTTAACCATTCCGATTAACAACAAAACCCTTCACACAATCTGGAACAATTAATTTACCCCCAAAATCACCTTCTCTTTTGCGATAAGAGCAACTTTTTCAACGAAGGCCTTATTCCCTCCTTTAAAAGTTTCTCCCAGCAATTTACTAGTCTCCTAAGCCGCTATTGCTTCTTCCACCGCCTCATCTTGCTTAGTTAGTTCACCAGAATTCCCCCTATCTCTGACTACTGTTCTGCTCCTATTCCTTGACCCGCAATTCACCCTTTTGAAAAAATGGTTTCCTTCCTGCTGACAGAAACGCTTCTTCCCGATGGACGACCACAATCCGATGTAAGAAATCCATTTTGAGAGCTCGACCGAGAGTTTCTTTCCTCATTTCCCTTATTACCACTGTTTTCTCTCAAGCAGTTCGCTTCTCCTTTATCAGCACCACAATCACTTTGAGAAAGTATTCTTAGACTTAACTCCCTTCTCGGCCCCTTCATAGTAGTACTGTTTTCTTTAATTGAAATAAACCGAGAAGGCCCAGTCTTTTGTCTGTTATTATTTAGCCCATCAACGCTACTGTCCTCAATTCCTACCTTGTTCTTGCTCACATTCCCATCTTACACCACAGCCTTATTCGTGTGGACCCCAGAAAAGACCAGCTCATCGCTCTTCAAGGCTTCCAAACTGTTTCCCCTCGATCCACCAACTACATCAACAACACAATTATTCTCAAGGCTGCCACTTGTCAGATTTTCCTGAATCCATGTCTACACCCTTCCCTTAGAGACCGTTTTTGGTTGTTGACCTTCCATCAACCTCTCCCCATCTATCTCATTACTCTGGAAACTTTCCCATCCATCATCTGACCCATCTTCTTCCTCCTTATCCACGCTTTCTGGGAAAAATTATCTGCTGCTTCCACCTTTATCTTTATCAAATACGGTCTCCCATTAGTTATGATCGAGATTGAACTTGGCACATCAAATGGGCTCGCAACGCTCAACAACATCTGGGCAGTCAGCTTTCTTCAACGTTTCTTCTTGTATCTTCACCAGCGACCCCCATCTATTCGCTAAACTGGAGAAAAAACCTTCACTCCAGCAATTGAGAGGCACACCAATTAGCGAAACAGAGCAAAAGGGTAATGGAACCCCCCTCCTGATTAACAAGAGATAACCTATCAAACCAGGAATTTAGAACTTCAGTTTTCTTCTCCAGAGCTACCTTCCGATCCTTCTTCGACGGGAACGTAATTATATAAGCATTCTTAGCAAAACCCCATCTGACCACCTTGGCATTAATCCCATCATTATATATGGCCTCTTGAACGAACTGCACTCCATGATTATACTTACAAATACCAGTCATAGACGTTTTAATCCAATATATTTCTTCCAAGGGGATAAAAACGTTCAACGGACCCTTCGAGGGGAAGGTTCAGTGTGAGTGTTTGATATGAGAATGAGTTTTACGTGAGTATATATTTTCAAGTTTTTCATATATTAGGAGGATCATATCTCCATACTCATGTCTAAATATGCATTGGACACAGATACTTAATAAAAAAACAAAGAGTCAAAGCAACATTTTGTTTTTCGCTTGTTTGTCAGTTCTACCATTGCTGTGTGTGAGCCTTCATGAATTAGTAAAAAGGTGACTTTAGGAGGGCTTAATAGCTTGTTGGCATTGAAAACCTATGTTACCTAAACTTGAAGGGTGAGCATCAGATATGGGTCTGCGTTTGACGTGCATATTTTAGAGCAAATGAAGAGTATGGAAAGCATAGCTTAGAACTTAGTAGAATTCAAAGCGATTTTCAAGAACTTATGCTAAGTTACAACATGTTGAACTAAAATTTAGCTGTAATTGAGGATTAATTATTTCTTTTTTTTTTTTGTTCAAACCAATTAAAGATTTCTTATGTTACAACATCTCTATGTCTATCTCTATCTCTTTCTCAGGCTACACCATTTTTTGCTGGGCTTGCGGTTGCTGCAGCAGCTCTTGCTAGTAGATATGGAATCCATGTTTGGCAAGCATTTAAGGCGAAACCACCGAAACCTAGGATACGAAAATTTTACGATGGTGGTTTTCAACCTACAATGACGAGAAGAGAAGCTGCATTGATACTCGGTGTTCGGTAAGCTTTGTTCCACACATGTATCATAAAGTAAGGCAATCATATTTTATGGATCTATTATACATTGGTAATATCTATATGAGAGCTAATATTATGATTTTGGATTCTTGAGAATACATGAATGACTCATTTATGAACTTCATCCCCAAGAATATTGGGGATTTCGGATTATTCAACATTTATCGTAAAGTAAGGAAAATCATAAATTATTTTTTTTATAGGAATTGAAGGCCTCGTTAAAAACCTCCTTCTTGATTAAAGGAGCTTGTAGAAAGCTCCTTAATCAGCGGAAGGAGGAAAAAAGTGCCTTAAGATTTCATTAACCGTAAGAAACATAAGATACAACTAGAATCGCCTCCCCCAACATAAACAAACAACCCAAAACAACCGGAGAAAACCCTATACAGCAACACTAACACAGCGAAATCCATCTAAGCTATAACAACAGTCACAAAAATGACTGACCAGACTTAACACCTAAACTAAGCCCGAAAACCAACACATAAACAAAACAACTAAAGCAGAAGCCGAATATCACAGCTAAACCAAACCATAAAATCCAAAATCAAAAACAAAAAGCCCTGTACTTCTACACGAAGAGTACAAGAATCTTCTTCCGCCTTACTGCCTCTTCTAGCACGACTTGTCGACATAGACCATCCAAACCTCCAACTTTAGAGCCTTCAAGATCAGAAAAAACTTCCTCTCAATGCACCTTCCCCTAAGAATTCTTGCTTTGACTTTAACAAGGCTTCCTTTGGTGGGCCAAGAATTTTTCTTAAAAATTTCGGAGAGAACTATATATAGCATTTCTCTCCTCCAAAGCTATTTGTTTCTGACGCCCATCAACTTTCTCGGATTTCGATAGCCCATCCCCTGACCAGCAAGCACTTCCTCGTGTACCACCAATACCTTAAATCCATCAGTAGGCATGGTCGAGGACGACACAACTGGCAGCTGCACATTATCTTTACTTACATCCTTAGACCCAACGTGCGCCCTACTAACACTCTCCAAGGCATGCAAAGTGCCACCAGTTTGACAGTCATAATCCTGCACAGCTGTCCCACTAACCGAACTAACAATCGGGATCTCCAAGAACCTATTACTATTTAATAATACCTTGGTCTGCCGTGAACCAACATTTCTAATTGGAATCTCCAAGAACCTATTACTATTTAATAATACCTTGGTCTGCCGTGAACCAACATTTCTAATTGGAGCCAAACGCCTACCACTAACATCAAGAAACATGTGCTGCACATCTTTCGTATTTGCACTATCAACTCTAGCATCACACACATCCAAACCTGAGCTCACGTGTAACCCACTAGCTTCCTCCAAAATATTAAGATCAACACTCTTCTGGCCAACTGAACCAAGCGTAGATGCTCCATTACAATGTCGGGTTATCACAAAACGGTAGCATATGCCCATGCACATTAGACCCCACTTGCGCCCCCTAGCTACCTCCAAAGAATTAAAAGTGCCGTTCATCTGGCAATCAGACCCAAACGCAGTTGTCCCATAACGGACTGTCGGGGACAACTTCCACAACCCATACCTCATCGGAACAAGGACCATTTCCTACTTCCTCGGCACCTGAACCACACGTTCCACCACCAGTATGCATGCCTTCAAAACACGCTCGAGTTTCTAGCTGAGCTTCCTTAATATTATTGGAATCAAGATTAACTCGAGAAAATGTTCCAGCATCTACTACCAACTCGGAAGGCTTAACTAGCGAAACACCAATAAGCTCCCCCTCCGTGGGCAACGGGGAAGTAACTGACGTTTCCAACACAGACGAATCAACCCAGACGGAATTTGGGCTAAAGCAAGGTTCAAACTCAGAAACAAATACTGTAAAAGACTGTTCCCCGACTTTCAAAACACAGTATTCTTCCACTCGATCTTTGCGGTTCGTAATGATCTGAAAACAGGCCCTATCAAACGAGCCAGGATTAAAGGCTCCTACGTCAATGGAGATAAGAGCTCCCCATTTTTCTGCAATGTTTCTGAAGTTGAATGGCACCACACAAACGGTGGGATCCCTCTACACGATAACCATGCCCGCCGGCTGCTACATTGAAAGTTTTCCGACCACAAATCCACTTTGTCAAAGCATTTATTCAACGCTCCAATCTGATTTTTTAGAGTATAGTCCCTACTCTCTTCATCTTCAAATATGATCAAAATAGCTAAACCACTTAACCTCATAATTTTCGAGCTTAATATGCCTTCCTTGTGCATAATAGCAGCTAGCTCTTTCATTTTCATAAATTTTCTGCACCAACCAACCAAACTATCTCTAAGAGTAATTAGCTTATCCTCGTCAACTAGACCAATACTGAACACCTCTTTGACATCCGCCTCACTACTCTTGACCACAGCTGAATTTGAACTAGAAAACTTTTTCCTCCAGAAAACATCACGAGGTTGAAATCTCGCCATGAAAACTCTAACCTTTTTATCTTGAATCCAAGATCTATCGGCACAGATGATAGCCCTCCTCACGTCCTCCACTCTAGAAAATCAAACAAAACCTAGGGATGAAAGAATCGACCACCTCGCCATATTTATCGAACAATAACCTAAGATCTTGATAATGAAGACAATATGGAATATTGAAAATAATAATTGTAACGCAATTCTTCCCACCAGATCTTCTCAACTGACTCGCCATCTAAAGGATTCGAAGGGGATAAAGAAAGAAATTTTTGAAAAACGCCTAAATTTTTAGAGAGAAGGTGGAGCTTCTCTCACTCGTGTGCATGCATATGAAAATCATAAATTATGAATCTGTGGTATATTGGTAATATCTATCTGAGCTAATACTAATTTCAGATTCTTTAGCATACATGAAAAGGCACATTTATGAATATCATCCCCATGAATATCTGTTAAGTTTGTGGAAAGTTAAACCTTTAATGTGAATTACTTCCCATATTTCAAGGGAAACCTCAACTTTTGGGTGATGGGAGTTCCTCATTTGAATATTTCCCAAGTAAATGTTTGAACTTCAGAAAAACAAAATTAGACCCGAATCCACTGTACCATTTGCATCGCCTTGGTAAATGGTAAGATAAAAGGTGATTTAGAACTATGTTCCATGGGAGTGAGTCTGATATGGGTATGTCTGGCACACCTACTTCCAATTTTGATTTCTTTTACATATATTTGGAAGAATTGTATCTCATATACATCATGTCTGATTTTATAGGGGACATTAGCAATTGAAAAAAACGAAGAGTCCTTTTAATGTAGATACAGAATCTATGGACCATATATTAGATTTTAGAGTAGACTTGGACTCGGCCTTTTGTAATTCGGGCACTAATACTTTAAGAAAAATGAAGACTCGAAGCTATATAACTTTTCGAGTATACACGATACTTGAGCAGGAGCAGGACTTGGATATGGGCAAAATAAGACATACTAAGATGTAAAAATCTTAGGTTTCTACAGATTTTCTTTCTCCTGGTCTTACTATTCAAAGATCTGAACTATGTTGCTGGGTTCAAAATTATACATCAGCTTGTTTCTTTTGTACACCATTAAACTAAATATGAATGTTTATTTACACATTCTGATGAATATTTATTTACACATCCTGAATGATTTGACAGGGAGAATGCTATTCTGGACAAGGTCAAGGAAGCACATAGGAAAGTAATGGTTGCGAACCATCCCGATAGAGGTGGTAGCCATTACCTCGCCTCGAAAATCAACGAAGCTAAAGATGTGATGCTTGGGAAGACAAAGGGCAGTGGATCTGCATTCTAAATCCTAAATGGCTTTTGAATTTCAACAATCTGCAAGAAGTAAGACCCTTTTCATTGGCCTTCAAAACTATCTTCTTTATAGACAGTTTAACCTTGCCAATGCTTTAGCTCCACTATTTCCCCCCCGAAATCATAGATCTAGATTATAGCTCCTGTTTTAAATTCCTAGTCCACTAGCTGATCCATTGTAGGGAGTTTCCGTTGATGCCTAGCTGAATTTAGTTTGTAAGGAAATTGTTGTCAAGATATTGTATGGTTAATCTGCAACAATTTTTCAAGATTTTTCTTGAGCTTTAGTGGAATGGAATTTGAGTCCGTCGGTGTTTCAAGATTCTTCTATGGGAACGAAACTATCATAGACCGCAATAATTCAACGGTCATCTGTAATAAATGTTGCGTTTGTGATATTTTCCTATAACATATTTTGTTTAAAGTAATAAATTTTGACTAGGGGTGCTCATCTAGCAAGACGACCGCAAGTTGGATAGTGCTCGACTTGTACTTATTAAAAAAATCCGTTGTTCAACTTGATTCGTTATTCGTTAAAATTTTGCTGAATTAGTGCTCGTTGGAAAAACCTGTTGTTAGACTTACTCGTTGCTCTTTAAGCTAACCAAAATTTTTAGGTAGGGGAATTTGGGTTTGATTTTTTGGTGTAATAAATCAATAATTAATAATATAATATTTTCTTATTATTTATTAGAAATTTAATAGATTAGTAAATTAATAGTAATACTTAATTATTAATTTAGCGTCTTTCTTATTATCTATATAGATCTTAGTAAATTAGTAATTATTATTTAGATTTTCTTTTTTTAAATGGAATTATGTTTTAAGGTAACTACTAAAATTTATAATAAAAATTAATGAATTGATCGTAAACTTATCGAGTTGAGTTGGACCTTACTTGATTGAACTCGTTAAGGTCTCGAGTAGGGGTGCACAAAAAATCCGAATATCCGATTTTGAGAAAAAAATATCCGAAACCGGTTTTGGGAAAAATCGGTTTTTTTTAACCGGATCGGATTTTTTTAAACCGGTTATTTTAACCGGTTTGGAGAAAAAAACCTAGACCGGTTTTTTTACCGGATAAAAAACCGGTTTGAAAAAAACCGGTTAAAAAACCGGTTTTTATCCGGAAAAAAACCCGGTCTGGGTTTAAAAAACTAGCCGTTAATATAGCCGTTGGGGAGGTTTTGTGACCGTTTTTGACCGTTTGTTTCTTTAAAAAAATTACCATTTTACTACCCTAAACATATATAAATAGGTTGGGGATGTATTTGGTTGATTACAAATTCCTCAAATCTTATTACACAACACTTAAACATCTCTCAAATCTTACTTTTGTAATTTTTTGTTCATCATGAGTAACACGACTGAATCTTCCGTCGGGGGAAACCTTGAAGTCGTGAGAGTGATCGAACACACTCGAAACAAAGACATTTGGGATCACTACGATTTATGTGAGATGTCAAATGGCTCGAGGAGGGCGCGTTGTAAACTTTGTCTAAAGTTTCTTGCATCGGAAGGAAACACAACGTTGAAGAACCATTTGACAAAATCATGCAAGGCACTTCGCTCAAGATCGGATCCTAGTCAATCGAATCTTACACCGCAAGGTGGTGTTTTTGTTTACGACAACGAAAAATTACGAGAAGCGTTTACAAAGTTCGTGATTACAAAAGCATTGCCGTTCGACCACTTTGATGATGAAGATTTCACGACAACAATTCAACAACTAATGCAACCACGTTATACTCAAGTAAGTCGTACTACCCTTAGAAGAGATGCTATAAAAATGTGGCGTACGGCGAGGGAAAAAATGATTTTAGGATTCCAAGAACACCGTTATGGTGTGTCGCTTACATGTGACGTTTGGAGTTCCCCTCATAATACCGGAAATTCTTTTTTAGCCGTTACGTCACATTGGTTAGATCAAGATAATTGGCAAATGATGAAAAGAACAATCGCGTTTGAATTATTCGGTGAGCCGCATACCGGTGCTAATTTATTTACACTTTTAAAAAGGGTAATTTGTCTTTATAAATTAGAAAATAAAGTTTTTTCTATATCCTTTATAATGCATCGAATAATACAAACGCGGTTCCAAGATTGAAAATATTACTTTCACCGATTTTAGACGGTGTGTTTTTTCATACCCGTTGCGTTGCACACATAATTAATTTATCCGTGCAAGCCGGTTTGGAGGTTATTGAGCCGATTAGATTAGAATTCAAAACAATGATAAAATCGGTTCTTTGTAACAACAACAAAAGACTAAATGATTATAAACGATTTTGTAAGTCCGTTAATAAAAAAGCTTTGGGTCCTAATTTGGATTGTCCAACTCGTTGGAACTCAACTTGGATGATGATGCATACTGCCTTAAGGCAAAGGGAAACATTGCAAACATTTCACGATCGGCTTTTCGAGAGGGGTCATGTCCCAAACATTTATCCGGATTCGAGTTGGGAAACTATAGCCAAAATAACCGATTTGCTTGAGGTTTTTAAAAATGCAACAACTTTTTTATCCGGTGTTTATTACCCTACTAGCCCGTTGGTTCTTAATCAAATATTTTTGTTGGCTACCCGACTAAATGACTTTGAATTTGAAACCGAAGTTTTTCAAGAAATTGGCTTTGCAATGAAGGAAAAACTTTTAAAATATTTTAAGGAGATTCCCCCCATTTTACTTGTGCCGCCGCTTTAAACCCAACGTTAAATGTTGGTGGGGTTGAAACACTAATTGAACAAATTGCGTTTGCTTTTAATCTAACCGATGATGAACCCAACTTTGTCCAAAACCAAATAAATTATTTTAACAAATGTTTTCGAGACACGTTTGCAATTTATTTAACTAAATACGGATCAAGTAGTGTAATACACGATCAAATGAGAATGAATGCGGAATCATCTAGTAGACGTCCAAGTAACATAAATTTGAATCTTTTTAACACTCTTGTAAATTCCCAATCCAAACGATCACGTACTACCACCCCAAGTAGCGAGTTGGGAAATTATATGTCATGCGATTTTCTATCAAAAATGACATTTGAAGAGTTTGAAAGTTTGGATATTTTGGCTTGGTGGAAAGAAAAGGAAGCACAATTTCCGATTCTAGCCGCCATGGCCCGTGATTTACTAACCGTCCAAGCTTCTACGGTAGCTTCGGAATCCGCTTTTTCTGTTAGTGGCAGGGTTATATCGCAACGGAGATCAAGACTAAGTCCCGAGTCGGTGGAAGTATGCATTTGTTTAAAGGATTATTTGGATGGAGCGGCTCGTAAGCAACATATCACCACCCTAGAAGATGCAATTGATGCCGATTTGGAAGCAAACTTACACATTGAAGAAGTCGAACTTGGAATATCCCCTCCAAACGAAGAAGGCGAAGCTGATGAAGAAGAGATGGCAATGTAGTTTATTTTATAACTTTATTTCAATTATCGTAAACTTTGTTTCAATTATCGAACTTGAAGTTTTTAAGTATTTGAATTTATCGAACTTGGAAGTTTTTAAGTATTTGAATTTATCAAATTTGGAAGTATTTAAGTATTTCAATTATGTTGAGTTAATTAAGTATTTCAATTAAGTATTTGAATTTATCGAACTTGAGGTTTGATGCTTTCTCTTTGATTCTCTCTTGATTCTAGTTGTTTGATGTTTCTTGTCTTTGATCAATGACTTCTAAGCTTGCTTAAATACACCTTGAATCACTTCTGAACGTTAGTGATAATTAATGAAGATAATATAGCCGTTTAAGTGTGAAAACATTTAATAAAAATGCTTGGAGCGTGGGGGAATCGGTACCCTCTCATAGGGAATTGGTACCCTCTCATAGGGAATTGGTACCCTCTCATAGGGAATCGGTTCCCTAAGTGTAAAATTCAAATATTTCGACCGTTGAATAGGGGGGAATCGGTACCCCCTATGGGGGAATCGGTTCCCTCCGAGCATTCTGGAAATCTCGGAGCCAAACCATTCAGTGAGGAATCGGTACCCCCTTGGGGGGGGAATCGGTTCCCTATGAGCAATCTGGAATATTAAAATCGGTTTTTTATAACCGGTTTTTTTAAAAAACCGGTTTTTTTAAAACCGAAACCGGTTACACCGGTTAGGATATCCGGCCCTCCAAACCGGTTAAAAACCGAACCGGTTATTTTATAAACCGGTTTTTTTGCTATGAGAAAAAACCGGATCGGATAAAAACCGATCCGGATCGGATTGAAATCTGACAAATGTTCATCTCTAGTCTCGAGTTGAGCTTGAGTTCGAGTGAAGTCAGCTCGAGTCAAGCATTGATCGAGTTCGAGCAACTCACTAGCTACCCAACTCATTAAGCACCTTTAATGTTGACAAGAATATTTAATGTTATATACATCGATTTTAACAGGCTCATGTAGTTGAATTGTGGTGTCATATTATTTAATCTTATTTGTGTCAGACTCAAAATTACTAGGTTTGACATGAACTAAGCAACTTCAGTGGTTAAGGATATTGTCATTCTCTCTAGAGATCTTGGGTTCAAACATCGACAAGGGTACGAGTTTATTGTCAATTAGTTAAGAGTTTTTGAACAGTTACTAAGCATGGTATGTGGTTTAAGAGGCGGAAAAGGAAAAAAAAAAATTGAAATGGCGATTTAAGTAGACAAAACAAATAGGATAAAATTAAACGTCAATTATCTTAAAAGACATTTTGTTTTGCATCCTACACAATATTAAGATTATTGTTATAGGTATTAACAAGGGATGTAAATGATTAGAGTCTGAATGAATAAGATTATATTCATATTAACTTTTATATTTATGTAGGTGTTCAATTTATGTTCGTTTAAATACTTAATATAATGTTCATGTTTATTTATTTACTATTCAAGAATATGTTCTTTTGTATGTTCAGTAATGGTACAATTAAGCAAGTAGTCCTTTAGCTCTTGGAACATCATAGTTTGAACTCTAAATTCCATCATTTGTTCAATTTAGTCATAATCTTCATCAATATTTAAAATATAAAAAATAAAACGAAAACTAGAATCATGTAAACTAGATTTCAAGCGAGTTTGTTGGGATTTCGATGAAGCTCAATTGAATAATCGAATGATTTGCCAAGAGGGGGGTGAATTGACTTTTTGAGTATAGGGAGTAAGGAGTAAAAAAAGATAGGAAAATTTGCACAGGGATTTATAGTGGTTCGACTTCTCAACCAAGTTTACATCCACTATCTAAGCTCCTCACTTAGGATTTTTTTAACAAATTCACTAATTTGTTCTTTCTTTTTGAAGGATAAAGAGAACCTTTACAACTCCCTAGATTTTCACAAGCTAAGCTAGAACCAATCCCCTTTACAAAAGG